CTTCATTTTGTTGTTTTTAAGAAAAGATCTCTCTCTCTCTCTCTCTCTCTCTCTCTCTCTCTCTCTCTCTCTCTCTCTCTCTCTCTCTCTCTCTCTGTCTCTCTCTGTCTCTCTCTGTCTCTCTCTGTCTCTCTCTCTCTCTCTCTGTCTCTCTCTGTCTCTCTCTCTCTCTCAAAAGCCCAGGCTGTATCCCAGGTGACTCTTAGGTGGTTTAAACTGAAGGAAATGCTAGAGTCTGGACTAGATTCAGGTATTAGTAGAAACAATAACAGCTAGTACTTCCCAGTCTTCTTACTGTCAAATGAAGTGAATATTAGGGGCAGTGCAGGCCTAGCAGAATGTGTACTAGAATTAAAGGCTGACTGGCCCCAAAAGGCCTGGGAAAGCATGGAATGAAGGGCAAAAGTCTGACTTGTAGAGATGCTGATGACACTTGGAGCCTTGATGAGCTATGATGACATTAACCAGACAGCAGTAATAAGCTGTTCTGAGGACACGCAGATGAGGTCTGCATCTCCTGTGATGTTTGCCATGCCTGCTCCAAGTTTTTAAGATCTGTTTGTTGTGCAAATGAGACTTTATAAAATTCCTTGGCTCCTTTTTGGATAGCTGTTTGACTAGAAAGCAAAGGATACCTGTGCCACCCAACAAAGCAGGCCCTAGTTAAAGCTCCTTATAGATGATGCTGGCAAATGCTATGCTGCCTAGGCTTACACGTACCAGAGCTGGACGGAGTTCAGACATGTGTGAGCCTGACAAGCAATGGTACCTCTCACAGTCTTTTCCTACACTGGAAAATGAGTGTGCCAGATAGGAGTTTCAAGATTGGGACTGCTGAGAGATCAATAGAAGGTGCTCGTCCAGAATTTGAGCCCCATTGACACTGTCACAACTCAGCTGCATGACAAGAAAGGAGTACAGACTGCAGCATGGATGACCCGGAGGACAAAATACAAAGCACCCCACATGTGCTGCACGCGTACGCCACTGGCCTGAAATATCAGGAGGAAAACAGATGGGACAGAGTAGATCTAGGGCTGCCAAGTACTGAGATGGTGGGGAGTGAACTACTAATGACTTGGTTTTGTTTTTAGGGGTGATAAAAATGTTCTAGGGCAGGGGTTCTCAACCTTCCTAAAGTTGTGACCCTTTAATACAGTACTTCATGTTATGGTGACCTCCAGCCATTAATTTATTTTGTTGCTACTTCATGACTGTAATTTTTCTACTGTTATGAATCATAGTATAAATATCTGATATGCAGAATATCTAATATGTGACCCCAAAGGGGACCCACAGGTTAAGAACTATTCTAGGGAGACTTTGATTAACTGGATTAATTCTTGGGGAATTAAACAACAGCAATGGTTGTACAACCTTGTGAGCGTACTACAAACTACTGAGTTGTGTACTTAAAAAGAGAAATTTTCTATTATTTCTAAAAAACTTAAGCCCAACATGATATATGTATTTTCTAAAACCTACCCAGTTCAAAAACAAAATGAGACTCCAGATTGCTGGAAATGTGTAGTGAGATGACAGAATCAAATGCAAGCCAAGCCTGGTGGCAGACTTGTAATCCTGGCTACTTGAAATTTCAAGGTCAGCCTGAGTCACTTAGTGAGGCTCTGACCTAAAATTAAAAGAGGAAAGGGGAGTCAGAGGCTTTCAGTTCTAAAGGGTTTACTTTTTCCATATTCACACACTGTTACCAATTTTTCTTTTTCATTTTAGGGTTTGAAATTCCTGACATAGATGCAGAGAAGTTAATGTGTCCACAAGAAATTGTAGACTACATTGCAGATAAGAAGGACGTATATGAATAAAGTATCAGGTAAACAACCTGACATAAAGCCACATTCTCCCATGGGATTAATCTGTCTGGAGACTCAGAACAAAAGTTGGCAGTGCTTGACAGACTGTCATTAGTTAGAGAACACAGGCCATTTCTGGTTAATGGCGTCCAAATCCTAACCCTTGCAGGGTTCCTGGAGCCCTCTTCTTAAAAGCAGTCTTACACAAATACTGCATGGCATAACCCAGAAACGCACCTCAGTCCCTCAGTCCCTCAGTCCCACTCCCAGCACAGCCTTGCCTGCTCTCAGAAGCAGAAGTGGCCAGAGACAGAGACCCAAATTAGCAGTAACGCCCCTTATTGATGGCCATGCAGTGAGCCTGGCGATCTTGGACAAGCTGCTGAGCTATGAATTTGATTCCATGTAAAGTGGCAATGATGACTGGCCCTATCAGGGCTTTGTGAAGGTCAAATTGGATCATAGATGGGCACTGCTGTCACTGTTAAGCCTTATTTGACAGTCACTGTTGTTTCAGCTCTACTGTTTTAGTGTTTAGAATGCACTGGGCACCTTAAAGGTGGCATTTAGAGTTAGTGACTACACACCAAAAAGAAACCCAACTTATCTTGTCATTGCCAGAGCCTTCTTCCTCACCAGGAGGACTCCGAGAACACCCGATGGCATCATGGCTGACTGACAGCGGTTCTGTTGGACTTGTATTTAAATTGTCTTGAGTGTTTTACCCTTTAAAAATAAATCTATTATAAAACTAACATTTTTCTCAATCTTCAGTTTTTCTTTTTTGAGACAATTTCATTCTGGACTGAACTCATTACCACAAGCTAACCTCACAGTGATCCTCCTGCCTCAGCCTCCCAAGTGCTAAGATTATAGGTTTGAACCACCCTGTTCCACCTAATTTTTAATTTTTATTGATGTTGCTTAATACTTTTAAAGATTTGTCATTGATAACCGTGCATATCAGAAATATAGCCTAGGGTACCGTGATGGGCAGCTGGGGTGAAGAATAATAAAAAATAACGATGTATTGTGTATAAA